TGGAAGGGTAACTGATGTGATTCAGCAATCTGTATATGGGGTATAATTGGGAGTTCATAACCCACTTGAATCAAATTGTGAAATATGATGTATTAAGAACTATGTAATGTTTTGAACGACCAACAATAAAAAAAAAAATCGGCCTCACCTGCACTCCTGGTAGCTGAAATTTCTTTTACTAGGAAATAAATGAAAGTACTCCAAGTTATAGTCAGAAGTGAGATTTAGCATACAAACGGCCTGGGGAAGAGAAAGGCATACTGCCTCACATTCTCACTAGAGTGTGAAGACTGGTATCAGATTCCTTCCAAAGAGCAAATTCAGATAGGAAGCCAAAAACCTGGTATCACTGAGCCCAAGAGGRTTTCCTCAGTGAGAGTCCCGGCTGAATCTTGTCCATTCTCTGGGACCATATACTTAAGAGATGATGYCCTAATTTTAGCTTACTGTCCAAGCATTTGTCTTGCTCTCCACACTGGGATGGTGGTGGTTGAGGTATACTTTGCCAGCCCTGCCTGCTGGGGCTCCTGAGTATTGAGGTGGGTTTCAATACTCAAACCTCTTGGCCTGGACTCAGCCCTCACTGACCAACTTCGTCCTCCTTTCCAAAGATGCCCTTGTTCATAGCCTTCAGATTCTAACCCTGTGTGCTGTTGAGAACTATTTTCCCTTCCAATACACTAGCCAGAGTGGTCCAGACCTCCTGGAACCCCTCTCTTCCTATCCCAACTGACCTTTGCTCTATCTCCAACCATAAAGCCCAAATAAACAAAAGAATTGTGAAAATGAGGTGATATCCAAGGGGATGTCCTTCTCTTCTCCATTCCAGGTCAGAARCCTCTCAGATTTCCTCTGGGACATCAAGATACTGTATCTGGTTTCCTTACTACTACTACCATCACTATTAATAATAATGATAATAATCGTTAGCATTAGTTAAGCATTTACTATGTGCTAGACATCATTCTAAGTGCTTTACATGTACTAACTCACTCCTGTTATGAAATAGGCACTGTTGTTCTCATTTTACAGATCAGAGACTGGTGGACAAAGCCAGTCCACCAGTAACTTGAACAAAARCATACAGCTAGCAAGTGGCAGGGTCAAACCTGAGTTTGTGTCCACCTATATGTCTTTGCTGTTGGGGCCCCTCAAGCTTGAAATCCTGGGAAAACAAATATCACATACATACACTGGTCTTGGGGTTGGTCATATCAAATTCAACTCCTTCATTGTACAAAGGGGAAAAACTGAGGCCCTGAGACCAAGCKATCATCAGTAAGTTGGGCCCAGCACTAAGGTCTTGGCTGACAATCTTTTCCATATATTTCAGGGGAGGTCACTGCCTACAGCCCAGGCATGTAATTTCCAGGGGTCATGACCTGGAAATTAGCCTGCAGCCCTTATTCCAGTCTGCAGGGGACTCCTCAGACCCTTGCACACCCCTCCCTGGTGGATTCCTAAGAGCAGCCTCTGGCAGGTCGCTTGCTGGGTGTTTTCTTGCCTTTGCTGTGGTCTGTCAGTAAGCTTTGTCCTGTGTGGGGGTGAAGCTCACAAAAAAGGTGGGGGGAGGAAAGGTTTAAAGTCACCGACGTAGGTGATTGGAGTCAGCTTTGGGTGAAGGTCAGGAAGATGCCTTCTCATCCTTGCATGATGTCTGCCTCCACCCCAACCCCTCCAAATCCCTGCAATTCAGGGTCAGAGAAGAAGAGACTTGGAAATAATTGCCCTATAACTTTTGCTCCAAATAGTCCCCTCGTGGTTACCGCCCATTCGGCAGGTGTCACTCCAACTGCGATCCTCCTTTTCCAACCATGTATATCCTCTGAAATGGGGTTCTCTGCCTTTCCTTGTCGTTCTCCTGAGCATTCACCCGATGCCAGGTAGCGGACAGTTCCCTTCCAGTCTCCAGCTGACACTCCACCACCCACGGTTCCCCATCCCTCTTGGATCAGCAAGATCCTTCAGCCTCCGCAACGATCCACTCCCACCCATGCACCCAGCCCTCCAGATCTCTCCTCCGCAGGGCGAAGGCCGAGGGCACGGAAGGAATTCGAGGCAAGGACTGTGACTGGCCAGAGCCCAGGATGGGGCACACAGGGAACCCGAGTGAGAATCTAGAAAGGGCATCAGAGCGCGGGACAGACGCCTGGACAGATAGGGACAGTGCGCGCTGGGGCGGACAGGGCCAGTATCCGAAGCAAATGCAGAGCTCCGGAGCTTGGGCTGGAGTCTGACACCCATGGTGTAAGAAAAAAGGAGGCGCAAGGAGACCAGAGACTTGGATTCTAGAAAGGGTGATTTGAGTCTGAACCCGGGAAGCCGGAGACCAGCTCAGCGAATGAATTCCAGCCTCAAGGTGGTCTGGGTCCTGCCAGGGAGAGGCTCTGAGTTCGAGGCCTCCCAGGGGTCAGGGACAGTGGGCAAGGGTGCGGGGAGCTGGCCCTGCCTTGGCGGGAGGGGGCGGGCCGGGACGCGGCGGGCACTGACCCGAAGTAGGCGGCGGCAGMGGCGACGGCGGGCAGCGCCAGGAGGCAGAGCGCGGCCAGGGCCAGCGTGGGCGGGGGGCGCATGGTGCCGGCGACGCGGCGCCCTCTAGCATCTCCCAGCGCCGCTCAGCACTCGCAGCGCCGCCACCTGCCGCCCGCGGGGCTTTAAACCCGGGTGGGGCGGAGCGGGAGCGGCGAGGGGAGGGAGCGGCGCGGGCGGAGCGGCCCCCAGGCGGCGAGCCCCCCGCCCCATTGGCCCCGCCGTCCTCGCCCCGCCCCGCCGCGGGTGGGGCCGCAGGCCCAGGACCGCCCCTAGCTCCTTCTCCCACCGCCCCAGGTGAGAGCTCACCTGGCGCCGCGCCCGTCCCTGGACGCGGCAGCGRAACTTGAAGCCCCCTGGACCTGGAGAGGCGGGATGGGGGTACCCAGCCGAGTAGATTCTGCCTCTCCAGGGCGGGGCGGAGGGACGCGCGATCTCTCCCAGCTCCTGGGGCGTGCGGAAAATCCGTGTAGTTTGTCATCTTCCTGCCCAGAGGGTGCAGGTCCCCCTCCGCAGGCAGGGCGCGGTCCTGACGCTGAGCTTCTCTCCTGTAGCGGGACACATTCATACCCAGTGACTGGGGAGATCCTCTTGCTGAGCAATAGGAGTCCTTGGTCAGAGGGGAGGGTGAAAGGGTGCCCTGGGTGTTTTGTTTATTTGGTTGTTTTTTTGAACGGGAGGCAGCTTGTCACTGGCAAGGTGCATAGCGTGGGCCTCAGTGGGCATTTCACAAAATGCTGTTGATGTTTGCCAGGACAGAAATTATGATTCTGGGCAGTGTGGCAGGCAGAGCCATAGAGGGAAGAGGGATCTGCTCTCTAAGGTGTGTAGATGCCAGTAGTTCTATGCGATGGGTGCCCCAAAGCTCTGACTTACTTATTCTTTTTAAAAGTTTAACTCTGAGCTGGGTGCGGTGGGGCAGGCCTACAATCCCAGCGACTTGGGAGGCTAAGATARGAGGATCACAAGTTCAGAGCCAACCTCGGCAACTTAGTGAGACCCTGTCTCAAAATAAAAAAGGAAAAGATTAAGGATATATCTCAGTGGTAGTGTACCCTGGGTTCAGTCTCCAATTAAAAAAAAAAAAGTTTAACTCCAATTCCTGTAGTGAAGTGTGCTGATCAAAGCAGAGAGTGGCACCTCTAGGAAGGAGACATACAACTAATCACCCAAGCGGAGATTTAAAATGTTTTGGGAATTGAACACTAGATCAAATCAAGAAAAACAAGGCTTTACTGTGGGCATCAGCATGATTGGGGGGCTGGGAGAGGTGTTGGGAAAATAACAGGACACGACAGGTAGTATTAACAGTGAGCCTCTGAGCTATTTGTATGTCAAATGAGTGGAGTGACTAGAGGACCTGTTGATCTTCAACAGCTCTGCCAGCCTTATCAAATTAGAGGCTGTGTGGCCCAGTAGCATGGGCAGAGAACTGGCTTCCAATTATGTAAATTATGAGCCCCAGATATGAAACCAGAATGATGACAAATAGCTCACGGGATTTTTGTCCAGATGAGATGTCATATGCCTGGCAGGTGCTAACACTCAATACCAATGGCTGTTAATGCCTGCAGGCAGGAGCCACAGTATGGTGGTATTTACTATGAGCTTGGGAGGGGGGTGGAACAGGTGTCTGATTTGTATCATTTGTTTATTTTTGTGCCATAAATGTAAATGTCCCCACTATGACTGATTTCAAGTTACCAGTGTGGTTCTTTTTAAAAAATATGTTTTTAGTTGTCAGTGAACTTTATTTATTTAAATGTGGTGCTGAGAATCAAACCCAGGGCCTCACACATGCTAGGCAAGCGCTCTACCACTGAGCTACAATCCCAGCCCCCAATGTGGTTCTTACTCACCAGAGTTAGGAAAAGATGTGCACAGTAGGCTCTGCAAGCCAGCTGGAACTGGCTCCAGCACACCGCTGGTTAGACCTTGAATCAAACTCAAGGAGGCTCAGAGGARGAGGGGTCTGAGCAGCACTAGTGAGTCAGAGAGGAGGATGAGCCGTGGACTGGAGTGGTGGGGGGACACCACCAAGCCCCAGCCATGTCCATGGGCACCCAAATGTGGGTAGGTGAGAAGGAAATGGGTCCATCATGGGCTGCCCCAGCTGCCCCTCCTGTCCTCAAGCCCATTAGCACACACCACAGGAACAGCACAGTAAGGCAGGCATGTGCAGTGTGTGGGGAGGAGGGATTTCCCCTGAGGTGACATATCTTGAAATTTTCATGAAAATTACATGTTGATGTCTGATGGGAGGYTGTGCTGCAGAGACAGTTGAGGAAACAGCAAAGATTTGATGCTTGGAGAATGAGAAACACATAGAAAATGTTCAGATAAATGCCCTGGGTTCCCCCAGCCAATGGCATAGACCCCACTCTTGGGCTCCTTCCTTCTGAAGTTAGAATCATACCTGAAATCTGCTCCCTGGAGTAATCCCAAACTTGCCTACAGAGCCCTCAGAGTTCTGTTCCTGCCTTCTTAGTCAACGGGCTTTACAGATGGCCCAGGTGGCAGCTCCTCATTGTTGAGAATGGGAATTCCTACAGCAGTTCCAGGGTGTGGAGCTCCATGTGCACAAAACCCGGCTCAGTCCATGGTCTCAGTGAGGCCTCAAGTGCCCTGGGAGGCTGGGGTGGTCCTTATCCCCATTGCATAGATGAGAAAAYTGAGGCTGGGAGAGCTGAAATAGCTGGTGCAGGTGGCCCAGAGGTAGTCGTGGAGATAGGAGTTGAGCCCAGTCCCGTTGTGCCATGGCTCACAACCGGCCGTGGCTGACTCAGGGATGCAGAGGCACAGCCTGACTTATGGCACTCTATGCATGATACATCCTCTCAGAGCATGGTGTGCCTCCTAAGTGTCAGCCCTCAAGGGGGCTCCTGGTATGGAGGGGGAGACGGTGGAGCAGCAGATCATCCCCCGGTTGTGGTATTATGGGTTCCATAAGGAAGGACGTAAGAAGTGGTCCTTGGTATGGTTGGTGTGCTCCCACCCTGCCCTGCCTTGCAAATTCCTCAAGGGGCAGGCCTGAGTTTTACTTCTCTCTGTGTCTCCAGAGCCTGGCCTAGGGTCCAGCAGATAGTAGGTGCTTAGGGAACAGCTTATAACCTTGATCTGTGGCCTTTTTATGCAGCTGCAGAGTTATGGAGTGTCATACAAACATGACACATGCTCACAGAAGCACTCCCTCCTATGCTGACACACACTCCATTGAGCACAGGTGCATGCACTCACACACACACACACACACACACCAGCACTACAGCACAAGTCCAGGTATTCAGTGACTCACACACCCCCCCTACGTCTCCCCCAAGGATGTCTAAATTCCTAGGTAGACCCACAGCTGCTCTGTATCCACACGTCCACACAGGTCCGCGGGAGGGACATTCTTAGACATACACATGCAGCTACCTGTCTCCATGAAGCAGCCCAAGGCAGCCGCTGCTCAGGGATGCGTCTCCCTCCTCTGTGGGTACGCACCTGCTCCCAAGTGTGCTCGTATGCATGTGCACGCGCGCGCACACACACTCACATACACGATGCATCCCTTGAAGGTCACAAGCATGGAGCCAAAGGTCTTGTAACAGTTGAATCAAATTCAGCTCCAAAGTGTCTCCAGAACCCCTTTCTTCCTCCATCTGCTGCCAAACCCCAAGAACCAGCCATCTTGGCCCCAGGTTCCTCACACCTCCAATTTCCAGCCAGAGAGCACTCAGAAAACCCCCTGAGTTCCCCACGAGGCCATTAGTGAATAGAAATGTGGCATTCAGGTGACTGTCTCCCTCTAGTCTCCCTCTCAGCTGCACCAGCGGAAATGGACTCTGGACCCAATAGGAAGCGGGGTGAGCAATGCCCCAACAGTTCTGAGGGAAAGCACCAGAGCCCGTGAGGTTGGTCCTGGGGAGGCCTAAATAGGATTGGTGCGGTCTGTTCGCTTGTCCCTCTCCTTGTCCTTCCCCACCCTCCCTGTGACCCGGCCTTCTCTGCCAGTCATTATGACTAGTTCTCTTCTGACCACTCCATCAGTCCTGACCCCACACATKTGAGTGGTATTGGCAATACCCTGTGACCTTCATTTGTGTCCTTAGACTTTGGAGCACCGTGGGCTAGGGCATCGGTCATCATTGTCCCCATTTTACAGACAAGAACACTAAAATCCAGAAAGGTGAGTAACCTTCTCAAGGTCACAGAACTCACTGGCATTTGGTGGTGGGGAACCTAATGTTTCTAGAACATGGAACTGGAATKGGACAGAAGCTAAGTGAGAAAGAAGGCTTCAGAATCCCTACACAGGAGACTCACAGCTGAGCCCAAAAATGTCAAGGAAGGCAGAAAAAGAACAAAATGTTACAAATGGGTGGGTGCCATGGAGGATGGGGGTGTGGGAAAAGTGTTTTTACCCTCTGTGTATTTTCCAGGTTTTCTTTTACAAGCATGTTTGATGTTTATAAAGGTGGGGGGAACTAAAAGCAGAAGGAGACACGTACTTAGGAGTAAATCCGCAATGTTAGAACTTCAAACCTTAGCAGGAAAGACACTTGGGAAGGGAGTAAGGAAGTATTCTTGGAAGGTGTCACCCATGGTATCCATTCATCAGTCCTCTCTTGGGGAGCTCTGTCAGGAGTTGACAGAGTTCACCCCTACAGTGGCAATTCCAATGGAAGCCCTGTCACCTCTATTTCTCCCCCCGCCCTTCTCTTCTTCCCACTCCACATTAACCCTCTAGCTTGTGTTGTGTGGGGTGTTGAATGACCATCCCTCTCTTGCCTGCTTGAGGCCTTCCGTCAGCCCTTGGTATAGCCAGATTTTTGCATTTAACGAAGGACACTTTAGCATTCCCCACCTGTCACGAAAGGCCAGCAAGCTTCCTTCTGGAGGCCTGCCTTGGCCTGCAACTTCTGCCTCTCTCTGCTCACTCATCACCTTGGTGCTAGAAACTTCACTGGCACAACTTTATTTTGTACCAGTGACTATGTTAATGCACACCATCCTTGAGTTAGGCACCCTGGCTAAACGGAGACGGTGTTCCCTGGTTTTTTTTTTTTTTTTTTTTTTTTTTAACTTGTAGTGCTAGGGATTGAACCCAGATCCT